CAACTAGAATGGTCCCCGTTAGATTCCAAATCTTGTCATAGATGCGGATATACGGGACATGTAGCGAAGGAATGTCAAACGGAATTACGACAACGTTCAAATAAATTAAATCGTAATCAACTGCTCCAACAGTTTAAAAATCGTAATAAATCTAAATTCAATTCATACGCCGATGCTACTAAGGGAAATAGATATCCTAATAATCGACAACGACATTGGAATCAAAATAATATTATCAACCGACAACGTAATAACAATACTTATACCTTTAGTGAAGAAGAAATGCAAGCTTGGGGTGACGAAGAAGATATAAGTGACAACAACCACAACCCAATTCAAGGCGGTACTAGGAAAGGAGGCTCTATGCATGAGCCAAATAACAACACACATACATCTTCACAAAATGATTTATCAGAGATCAAAAAACAACTTACTACTTTAAATGCAATGATTACCGAATTTAGAAAAGAAAATGATATAGTTAGAAAAGAAATTAATTCAATTAAAGAAACCTTTAAAAATAATAATAATCGTAAAGGTCTCCAACAAAAGCCTGACAAATTACCAATTGTTAACGATAATAATAAGCGTGCCAAACCTGACTCATCTTCAAGTGAAAATGATGACAACAACTTAGTGCTTAACTTAGAATCAAGAGTAGAAAAACAAGATAGTTTATTAAATAATATGTTCAATATGATCACGAAACTTACTGGACAACTTTCTGATAAAGAACAAAATGATTCTACTACAAACAAAATTGCAAGTATTGGGGGTACTAGCAATGCAGCCAACCAGTTCGAATCCACTTTTTAAATCTTAATGATTGTACAACCTAATAATAACAATTTAATTAATAATTATTCTAACAATCCACCCCCACATTTAATTAATTATAAAAGAAAAAAGAAAAAGAAGAAAAAAACAAACATGGAAATTTCAGAAGACAATACAATTCCGAATCAAATTAACAATAATATAGATATGTTTAATGAGCACGATAATCAGAAATATTTTACAAAAATAGCGGTGCTTAATATATGTACCTTAACAGAATATAAATTGAACAATATTTTCGACTATATAAAAAAAAATGGTGTCGATATAATGGGAATTACAGAAACACAAAAAGCTGATAAAGAAATTTATTTTTTCAACGCAGATAAAGCTGGATATAAAATTATTTCACATAATGATAATAAAAATGCTATTGGAAAAGGAGTTATGCTTATAATACGAAATAATTTAGAAAAACACATATTCAATATAGAAAAAATTAATGGACGTATATTAATAGTTGATTTTTCCTTTAAAAACAACAAAAAATTACGTCTAATATTATTTTATAATTTAGCTAATCATCGTACGGGTGTAGATATGAACAATAAAATTAATATGAATACACACGTGATTAATCAGATTAAATTAGCTAAATCTAAAAAAATGGAAATCATTTGTTGTGGTGATTTTAATTTACAATATAGAAGCTTTAAAAAACGACTTGATAATAAACAATCTGTGCCAAAAATGTTGAAAATTTTTCAGAAATTAGAAAATCTTAATTTATGGGATGTTCATAAGGAAACTTATGATATGGACAATACAAAAGATATAATGACTTACTTTGGTCGTTTCAAATCAAGAATTGATTATATATGGATATCAGAAAATCTTTTTACGAAAACATCGAAGGCAAAAATTATTAATATAAGAGATATAATTAAAACGGATCATGCCTTATTAACTTTTGATTTTATTAATGAAGATTTGATTTATCCGATTTTACAGACAAAAAAAATGAATACGACTAATGTAAATTTAATTAGACATATTTTTGATTTTGATAATACTGAAGAAAAAGATCTTTTAAATTTTCAAGATGAATTAAAAAAGGTTGCTACTTCTTTTAATTTAAATGGTTCGATTGAAGAAAAGTGGTCATTTTTTAAAAATAATTTATTGAAAATTAAACAGCAACATATTCGATCTAAAGAAATTATAGTTAATGTCGACCGTGACAAAACATTTCAACATACACAATTATATAAAGATTTACGATAAATTGTATATTTAAGAAGAAAATTTAAAAAGAAATTGAGTTTTGAAAAACTCACTCTAAATTGGAAATACTACAATAATTATTTAAAACATTTAGTTAAAAGACATTCAATAGATGAAGTGAATTCAACATATCTCTTATTACAACATAGATTAAGTCGATTTTTAATAGGTCAATATGTTAAGGAATTAAATGAGATATACGATACTTTATTTTCAAAATTTTC